CGATTAATGTGTTACAGGCTGGAAAACGACGTTTAGCGAAACCTGTTAATAAAAAGCTTTCTGTTACCACCGAACATTTAGAATGTATGTATGATAAAACATTTGTTTCCGGGTGTGCGTATATACAAAGAATAATTTGTTCTTGTTTGTTGACGTACAGTGGTTTTCTTAGAAGTGCCGAACTATTAAACCTAAGTTTTGACGACACTCATTTGTTTATTTTTCTTGAGAAAAGTAAGACTGATATTTATAGAGATAGTGCATGGGTTGTAATAGCACGAACGGGCAACATATTATGCCCTGTTAAGAATTTAGAGCGCTATTTGGATTGGGCCGAGATAAATAAAGATGAAGACATGTATTTATTTCAGGCTTTGTGTAGGTGTTCAACGGGTTATTGTATTAAGAGTATTAATAGAGCACTTAGTTCTACTAGATTATTTGAATTGTTTAAAGAAATGTTTCAAGGGGTAATAGATTGTTCAAAATATGGGTTACAAGTTTGCGTGCGGGAGGCGCGACAGCATGTGCAAATAGAGGTATTCCTGATCATTTGTTCAAACTTCATGGGAGATGGAAATCTGAAAATGCTAAAGATGATTATGTCAAGGACGATTTGAAACAACTTTTAAGCGTGTCTTTGAGTTTGGGTTTATAAGGCGACTCTGTAATTTAAATTGTGATTTATGATGCTAGGTCTTTCTGTGACATTCTGGCGGTTCGACACTGCATACCACTATAAGTGTTATGAGTATTGATATGGAGCAGGGGAGGAAGAGAAATATATTTTCCTGTGGTTGAGGGAACCGAATTAGGAGGGAAATAAATTCTCTCCATATGCGTAGTGATATATGTCGTATGAAGTATTATTTGTCAGTAAATAGTCTTACGGAGTCATTCAGGTCGAGTAATCTGATTTACTGTATGTTGTGAGATAGAATATATAATTATTGTGATAATTCTGATATTTTATTTATCAATTTGTAATGGAATTACAATTTTATATTTACACGCCCGCGTATAGCTCCGGAGACAGTTATTGCTTGAAGGCGGACATAGATTTCCCAATGGGTATTTTTAGTTTTTTTTTCTGGTTGGCGGAACTGTCGGTGATGGAGGAAGATTGTAAGACATAGAGTAATGTCTGAGTAATGGTGTAAGATATAGTGTAATGATTGTAGATTATAATGCTGTTTGTATATAAAGAACGGTGTAGGACATAGATTTATGTCTGAGTAGTGGTGTAAGATAGTAATGATTGAAAATTATAATGTTGCTTGTTTGTTTTTATTCTTACTTTATCGACTTGTGTTGATATTTTTGGATATCAAAAAAGACGAGTAGGAGATTTTATTTATCACTCAATCCCTTCTTACATGCACAAATAAATAAATGTAATTCTTTGCTATAGATTTCACTTTTTTACTGAACCTGGTTGCATTATGGCGTAGTGATACATCATTTTTTGACAGCAATTCAACCATTGTTTATATTGACCCAGTGTTTCCATCAAGGTCAATTAAATAAAAATAGTTCCTTTTTAATAAGAAAGAGGTTACTTTTAATAAAAAATGAACTGTTCTTTGAAAATAAAAAAAAGGTAGTTCCTTTTTGATTGCCCAATCAAATTCATGTAAAGCAATATATTGCAGTAGATTATGAAATTTGTCACACAAGCGATATCTACTGCAATCTGTATTCTTGGGTGATAAAATGTATATAGCTGATATATAATTTAAGGCGGTTCGACACTGCAGACAACTAGAAGTGTTATAGGTTTTGATATGGAGCAGGGGAGGAAAAGACTTATGGCGATTACAATTCGTCCCCTGAGAGGTAAAAGGTCGCAAGTGACAAAACAGGCAAATTTGATATTTTTGCACCAAAACTTTATAAATTGACCCCTCCAGGTTATAACAAACAATGGTGACAATTGCAATGATACAAACTACAATATGGGTAATTAATATTAGGTAGTAAGTGGAAAACTTTACCAAGATGTCACCGGAGAAAGGTAGTAAGTACACTGATGGCAGTGTAACAAGGTCGTAAGTGACATTTAAATATGTTCAGTAGCAACTTCTTTCTGGCAAACTTCTTTCTGGCTTTCCCACAAAAGCCTGTGTACATTTCATTTTGCGATAGTAGTGTTTAAAAATGATCAACCCGCAGTAGACTTTAATCCTTGAGTGACATTTAGGGATTGGGCACATTAAAAAACACAATACAATTTATATGGAAAAAATAATCACTGGTCTGTACACACATAGCACGACGTTTCGACAAGTATCCTCTTATCGTTGTCGTTTTGTGCTTGATAACAATAAGGGGATACTTGTCGAAACGTCGTGCTATATGTGTACAAAACAGTGATTGTTTTTTCGATATAAATTGTGTTGTGGTTTTTTTTTCACAGTAGACTACACAAAGAACGGGGCTGTAGGGGGGCCTTTTTGCGATACTGCATGTAAGAGACGCTTTTAATACCCCACGTTCGCCGTTTCAATGGACTGTAGTACGGTATGCGTACACACTAGAGCGAATGGGAACTAGAGAGGGATAGAGAGAGGGTTGTGATGCAATGAGACGCCCCTTGAGAGAGAGAGAGAGAGAGAGAAGGAGCGATGGGTGGGGGGGTCTGAGAGCGAGAAAGAGAGTAAGAGAGATCCACATTGTAACTTAAAGATAGGGCTATAGAGAGCTAGAGAGGGGGGGGGGGGGTAGTTAAAGAGGTGGGCTAGGGAGAGCGAACTAGAGAGGACGAGGGCTAGAGAGCGAGCTTAAGAGTGGAGTAGAGAGAGAGAGAGGGGGGTGGGGGCTGAGAGCGAGAAAGAGAGATCCACATTGTAACTTAGAGAGACAGGGCTATAGAGAGGGAGATGGGGGGGGGGGGGTAGCTAGAGAGGCGGGCTAGGAACAGAGAGCTAGCGGGAGCGAAGGCTAGAGAGAGCGAACTAGAGAGGACGAGGGCTATAGTGAGAGGACAAGAGCTAGAGAGCGAGCTTAAGAGTAGAGAGAGAGAGAGATGGGGATTAACGTCCACTTGGTTCAATTTTACTTCAATAATTCGCTTGCGCGTAGGGGTCTTTTATCAGTGGGGAAACCGGAGGACCCGGGGAAAACCCACGAGGTTGGACAGACAATCATACTCCTTGTCACGTACAACCGGGGAATCGAAATTACGCCAGTTGTTTCAGTGACAGACCTTATGATACAGCACGCACATGCTAACCGTTCGGCCATCCACCCCCCACCCCACACACACACCCTGAGAAAGATAAGAAACAAGATGGAAAGAGCTAGAGAAAGAGAGAGATGGTGAGAGCTAGAGAGCGTAAGATAGAGAGAGACCTAGAGAGATAGCGACACGGAAAGTGACAGCTACAGAATGGGCTAGTGAGGGAGGGACTTAAGAGAGTTATCGGTAAGGGGGGGGGAGAGAGATAGCTAGAGGGCGAGTGGGGAGGTCAAAAAGCGCTAGAGAGTTGGCTGCCAAGGGATGAGACTTGTCCCTCGAGAAGAGAGAGAGAGAGAAGGGCGGGGGTGGGGCTACAGAGAACAACCTAAGGGGGGGGGGGGTAGGGAGTTAGCTCGCAAAAGAAAGAGGTGAGGGAGAGCTTGACCTCGAGGGAGAACAAGCTAGAGAGAAGGGCGAGAGCTAGAGAGTAAGCTTAGACTATAAGAGAGAGATAGAAAGAAAGAGAATCCACAAGATAAAGAACTAGAGAAAGAGAGCAAGAAAGATCGGGAGAGAGGGCGTGAGCTAGAGAGAAAGCTAGAGCGCGTGAGATAGAGACCTAGGAAGATAGCGAGATAGAAGGCGAGAGCTAGAGATGGAGAGATGGGGCGGGGTCTAAAGAGAACTATCGATATGAGGAGAGCAATCTAGTGGGTGAGGGGCGGAAGGGGTGGGGGGTTAGAGAGAGATAGTGATAAGCCTGCGATGTGATGATACTAGAGAATGAGCTAAAGGCTGAGGGTGGTAGGGAGGGAGCTAGCAAGCTTAGGGAGTAGCGATAGAGAAGGGAGAGCAGGGGGGGGGGGCACAGCAAGGGAGAGTGGGGACTAGAGCGAGATAGAGAGGTGAAGAGAGTGAGATAGATAGAAGGTTGTACGATACCGTGAGGCTTGACAGGGAGGGTGCGCGCGAGAGCCAGAGAAAGGTATCAAGATAGCGTGAGGGATAGAGGGAAGAGGGGCCTGGGGTTAGAGAGGGGTATAACATCCACTGAACACAAACTAGGCCATAATTTTACTTCAATAATTTGCTTGCGCGTAGGGGTCTGTATCAATGATAGAAAGTCGGAGAAAACCCAACGAGGTTGAGCAGGCTACCATACTGTTAACCATGCCACTTAACTCAATTACAGACCTTAAGATCCAAAGCGTACCCGTAAGACCAATATAACTTCCACCCCATGGCAAAATCACATAAGGTCGTAAACAGCAATAAGTATGTATCTTTGGTTATAGGTAGAGAGTAGAAAAAGGTCGTAAGTGACTTTTCCGAGTTACCACACCTGATAACTGAAAACTTTATATTGCATTTCTAGGTATTCCCAATCATAACATACTGTACAAAATATTAGAAAAAACAATAAATAAACAATTTTACAGGACCATTTTCAAACCTTTAAACTCGATTTTCTCGAAAAGTGAAAAATGTCACTTACGACCTTTTCCCTATCAGGGGACGAATTAAGAATTCATCAACTAGATCTATAATCCTCGTCTGGTGAAGAAGAGTTCACATGAGTAGTAGAAATCCCCCACCCCTTCGATAAGCAGTTTGGCTTCATTGTTTAGAAAAAACTTTACAGCCGGTGGCGCCATGTCGTTCAAAAGGGTGGGTCAACCATGTTCCATACAAAAGGGAATTCTAAACTCACAGTTCTGCTTGTATCTTTCAGCATGGATTTGACAAAACATATGGGGCTAAAGGTGACAGACAAACTTTTACATTCGTAAATACCTCCCAAAAAGATAACAGATGTACTTACTGAATCTTCTGTTCGAACTGAAAATAAAGACATGAGGACATAATTATAATATAACAACACCCGTAATAAACTAAAAAATAACCACTCATCTTACTAGCCACCTGTTTTTACTACGATGACTTCCGAAATATTGAAATTAGCAAAGATAGCCACACAGCAGATTTGTCTGAACTGCAGCTTATCCGAAAGAAAAGCTTGGATGTTGAGCAAATTTGATAAGCATCTAGGGTCCTTGAATAAATCTAATCTCTAGGGTTCATCCTCTTTTGACCCCATTGCTTCCTGCCAAAGTTGAAAAAAAATCCGTTAAAATTTATAGCTTGTATCACGTTCACAGGGTTTCGACGAAGGGTGGATAAGTCAGGGATGGAAGGCTTTGGATTATGAATACCGATATGGGTCGATGACCTGAATGCCTCAGGCCAAATATGAAAAAGATATATTACAAACTATAACCTTTGTCGGGTTCAGAGTTGGGTTGTTTTTTTTTTGTTTGTTTTTTTTGGAAAAGGAAGCATAACTCCGGAATGGAAAATCTCAGAACTCTGAATATCGATAGAGTTCATCCTCTTATGACCCCAATGCTATACACCAAATTTTACAAAAATCTGTTAAGAAGTATAGCTGCTATCGTGTTCACAAATGGGGATGACTCCGGAATGGAAAGTCGTAGACCGGTTAATATCGATAAGATTCATCCTCTTATGGACCCAATGCTTCCCACCAAATTTGAAAACAATCTGTTAAAAACTATAACCTACATCGCGTTCACAATATTTCGGAAACATACACCCACAGCAGCTAAATCGTCCGAGCGGTCGACAAGGGTTGTCGTATATTTATTCCTTTGTAGGTAACTGTGGGCCTTTACAAGACAGTTCCATACAAATCAGATTATAACTTTTACCATTTGAGGGTTCACAAGGTTCTACAAACTGAAACAAGGGTCTCAACTCTGGAAGTAATCTACAGAAATTGTTGGAATTTGACAGGCTTTTTCGTTTTACTAATTTAAATAATGCATATAAACTTCGTACATATCAGATGATCACTTTTGTCATTCAAACGTTCATAAGGTTCACAATCGTCATAACTCTAGAAATTATTGACGGAAATTGCTGAAATTCAATAGACCTCTGTTTGACAAATTTAAATGATGCATATAAATTTCATACATATCGGATGGTAACTTTCATCAATCGAGCATTAACAAGGTTGAACAAAGCGAAACAAGGGCCATAACTCTAGAAGTAAATATTGTAAATTGCTGAAATTCAATAGGCTTCCTGGTTTCACTAATTTAAATAATGCATATAAATTTCACCAAGATCGGATGATGACTTTCGGCGTTGAGCATTCACAAGGTTCAATAAAGTGAAACGAGCCATAATTCTAGATGTAATAAATGTCATACAGATCGGCAGATAACTTTAGAGGTTAGAGCGTTCACAAAGTGCAACAAAGTGAAACAAGGACCATAACTCTAGACGTAATAAAGAGAAATTGCTGAAATTCAATAGGCTACTTCATTTCCCTAATTTAAATAATGCATATAAATTTCACAAAGATTGGGTGATAACTTTTGATGTTAGAGCGTTCACAAGGCTCAATAAAGTGAAACAAGGGCCATAATTCTAGACGTAATAAACGGAAATTGCTGAAATTCAATAGGATTCTTCGTTTTACTCATTTAAATCATGCATATAAATATCATACAGATCGAATGATAACTTTTGTTGTTACAGCGTTCACACGGTTCAACAAAGTGAAACAAGGGCCATAACTTTAGACATAATTAACAGAAATTGGAGAAATTCAATAGGCGTCTTTGTTTCACTAATTTAAAGGTTGCCCATCAGTTTCATACAGATCGGATGATAATTTTAGTCGTTAGAGCGTTCACAAGGTGCAATAAAGTGAAACAAGGGTCATAACTCAAGAAGAAATTAACGGAAATTATTGAAACCAAATAGGCTTCTTCATCTCACTAATATAAACAACATAATATATCAATTTCAAAACAATCAGATGATAAATGAAGTCTGTAGAATGTTCACAAGAAATTGTGGACGACGGAACGACGGAAGGGGGAGACGACAAAATACGACCACATTTCCATGTGGGCGTATAAAAAAATTCAGAAAGGGAAATTACTTATAACCGGCGATTTCAATTTCCATTTTGATTTTCCTAAAAAAATCTGACGTAAAGTGGATACTCAGTCTATTACAGAGCAATAACCTAGACCAAAATATGTCTTGTGCTACTCAAAAATCTGGTCACATTTTGGATTGGATAAATCACTCGCCAGTCAGAGAATGTCATAAAATTTTGTGGATCTTCAAATTTCTGAAACCGAAGTCCTTGTGGTATTCAACAGATATTCTTGAAGCTAAAAACAAAAGACGAGTTGCTGAAAGACGATGGCGTAAGACGCACCTTGAAGTCCATCGACAAATCTATAAAAGCGCCCGAAATGAGGTCAATGTTCTGATTAAAAATACCTAATCTAAATATTGTAATGAAAAGATTGAACAAAACTCCAGAAACCCCAAGGCTCTGTTTTCTTTCATCTATTCCTTACTTGGAAAAGGTTCAGATGTTGTCCTCCCAGTTTCTAAAGATGGTGTAGTGCTCGCAAATGACTTTAGTAATTTCTTCATTAATAAGATTGATATCATTCGCAACAGTCTCAGAACATAAACGTCTCTTGTGGCATCACCAGAATACCGTCCTGTTTCCAATTTGTAATTTCTTTCAAAAGTCCTTGAAAAGGTGATTAAATGTCAACTGTTACAGCATTTAAACTCGAATAACCTTTTGCACAAGTACCAGCCTGCCTACAGACCTAAACACGGTACCCAACTGGTCTGATTCGTGTTCTTAGTGCTATTCGATGGGCAGTTGATAACGGTGACATATCTCTGTTGCTACTGTTAGACCTCTCCGCTGCGTTTGACACAATTGATCACAAACTGCTCTTAAATCGATTTGCCCTTGACTATGGTGTCTAAAGTACGATTCTCTCGTGGTTCGCCTCTTATTTAACCGACCGATATCAATCCGTTGTTATCCGTGCATCTCACTCCTCGGAAGCTGAATTAACATGTGGTGTACCACAGGGTTCCGTCCTTGGTTCCATTCTGTTCACTCTGTATACTACACAGTTAGGCAACCTCTTAAGTAATGAACAAGCGAAACACCACCTATACGCTGACGATACCCGGTTATTATATAGTCTTCCACCTAATAAATCAGCATACAATCTAACACTCTCTGAACTGGAAGAGTGTTCCCACAAGATCAAGACTTGGATGAACTCAAATATGTTCAAGCTAAATGAAAACAAGACTGAAGCAATAACATTTGGAACAACAACGAAGGTGTCTAATTACAATACCAGCCCTATTAAAATTGCTGAGCCCAGCATCTGTATTTCACCCTCAGTGAAAAATCTGGTAGTGATTCTTGATCCAGCTTTGTCTATGAATAAACAGGTTGACGACGTTCGTTCAATATATGTTCCATCCGAAATGTAATTACTCCTTCTGCCACGGCAACACTAGTCCGATCTCTTGTATTTTCCAGTTTGGTCTACTGCAATAGTTTACTTGCCGGAATTAATAAAGCATCAGTATATAAACTGCAGCGCATACAAAACAAGGCAGCGCGGATCGTAACACGAACTCCTTTTAGAGACCTTATCGCCCCTGTACTTAGGTCACTTCACTGGAAGCTTTCAGTGCAAGCGAGAATCGACTTTAAATTGATGTCTCTCACATATCAATGCGTATACTGTGAAATGCCATCTTATCTGAGAGAACTGGTGGTACCTTACATGCCATCGAAAAATCTAAGATCAAGTACTAAGAACAATCTTGTTGTCCCAAAATATAAACTAAGATCCTTTGGAGCTTGTTCATTTAGTGTTGTTGCTGCCAATTTGTGGAACTCGCTACCTGAAAATCTTCGATCCAGTTCATCATTAGACTCCTTTAAATCCAGATTGAAACATACTTATTTGAGAAATATTTGTGTGTTTTGTAGTGCTATGAGCACGACTATATGTGGAATTAGCGCAATATAAATGGACTTATTATTATTGACTTATTATTAATGGCTGTTTATGACCATGATGCTTCACAACAAATTTGAAAAGAATCCGTCAAAGACTGTAGCCTCTATCGCGTTCACAAGGCAATCTGTTAAAATCTGTAGCTTATATCGCGTTCAATAGGTTTTCGGCGAAGATAGGATAACTCCGGGACGGAAAGACGTGGAAAACTTATCGCGTTCAATAGGTTTTCGGCGAAGATAGGATAACTCCGGGACGGAAAGACGTGGAAAACTGTGTAATGTTATGCTATTGTGTAAAGACCACTAACATACTTATTGTTCAGACTAGGCAGAAAGACCAACACAGATAAAACAATTGACTTTTACTTGGAAGCCATTAATGATTAATAAAAAAGAGTACAATGTCAAGGTCAGACAATTAAAGGTTAAAGTTCAAACATAAAGAATAAGCAATAATGACACATCCCCTTTGTTTTAAAGGAGACAAAACACAACCAAAAAGATAATTAAAATAGTTAACGTTGAAAGTCATTCAGATAAGTGGGTGGTTTGGATATTCTTTCAGAGCGGGTTTTCACTACACGATCATAAGGATTTGGTTGTTGAACTTGTGGTAGATGATAAGGAGGTGGGAGATGATTCTGTGGTTCTTGAACAGGTGGATGTGGATACGGAAAGTCAGTATCCACAGACTCGTTTGATTTTCTAAGAAACTGTCGATTGCGTCGAAATGTTCCACTTGGTGTGCTGATAATATAAGATCTGTTGTTGTAATTTCGTAATACTTCGCCTTTAATCCATTCTTTCTGTCCTTTTCTTGTAGGTTTGATTCTAACTATGTCTCCTGGATTCAAAGGTTCCAAATCTTTAGCTGTAAGATCATAATATAATGATTGCTTCTCTTTTTGTTCCATAAGCAGCTTGTAATCTTGATCATGTT